TGGGGTGGGGGGTTTTGGGGTTGCAGCTGTGACGTTTCTCAGTGAACATCATGGAAAAATTCGATAGCTTTTTCGAAAGCCTTAACATTTCGGAATCATCGTTGCAGAATAAACCAGAAAAAATAAATTACATTCTTAATACCGTACCTGTTCTATATACGCATACATTTATATTATTACGCCTTCCTTGCATTGAAAACAGTCACTCAAATTTTCGGGAAAATGCGCAAAAATTATCAATATTTCATTCAAAAAAAGTTTGAGTTTTGAGAAACGTTGAAAAGTTTGAAGTTCATGTATATTAATGAAGAAAGATATGCCAGCAGCAGATGACATATTCCTCGCGGAAGTATCGCCAATAGCCGACCGTAGAAAATAGTAGAAAATTACCTTATGTGTACTATATCTATAAGAACAAAATATCGATAACTATGTGTGACGTTTCTAAGGGGGGGGTGGGGGTGGGGGGGGTCTCCAGAGAAACGAACATATGACGTTTCTCGTGGACAGAATCGATATGTGAGGCTTCCCTTATATTCTAAGCAATATTCCGCATCGATTGACGGTGTTCGATTTTTCATGTTTGACTTTAGAAGCAAGATATACCAGCAAATAGCAATAGACAATTCCAGCTATCGACTAATTTTTTATATAGACAAGAAAGACGGAATATATCATTACTCAAACGAGCATCCTAAAATTAGTAAAATTGCAAAGTTTGGTTGCGAAATGTTGTAAAATACCGAAAATATAGCCCTGTAATATATAGCAATTTTACTAATTTTAGGATGTTCTTTTGAGCTATGATGATATATTTCGTCTTCCTTGTCTAGATAAAAAATTATTCGATAGCTGGATCGAAGAGTCTATTCTTGACTGTTTCGTAGCAAATAATATAACCGATATCATTAATATTCATGCAGCAAATACAGGGTGCATAAAAAAACCTGCAAACACTATACTTCGCATAATTCTGCTGCTGACTAGCATTTCAATGCCTGTGCTACTTATTTTGCTCCTGGGATTTGAAAATACATTCTAATTAACCGCGTTGATAGAAATTAGAATAACATGCACAAAGTTATTTGTAATGCAGCTAGGAAACTAATTATCAGTTCGACTGCGAATGGTCAACTATTGTGTTTACGCACGCTTGGGATCAATTAGTTCTGAATCATGCAAATTCTAAAAACATCGTATTTCAAAGGGTTTGCAGGTTTTTTGAAACACCCTGTACAGGGTGTATAAAAAAAGGAGACTTTAGAAATTACCCTTATTGTTATAAGTTCAATGCTGTAAGGAATATAGGCTGAACACAAGAGTGTGAAAATACAATTGAATTGAATTTTTCATTACCAGGAGCAAAATATATTTTGCTTAACAACAATAGATTAATTTCTAAAGGTCACCTTTTTTGATACACCCTGTACAGGGTGCCCCCAAAAACGAAAACAATTGAAATTACTTATTGTTAAAATTTGAATGCCCTACAAAAAGCTGAACGTAATTATGCGTAAAATATTGACAAGCTGCATGTATTAAAATTTAGTTAAGAACATCTCCTTGTAAAGCCTGCCGCACACGAGAGCTATCTGCTGAGCAAAAAGTTACTCGTGCCTGTTAGCTCAGCCGATAGCTCACCGTGTGCGGGTACATTTTACTGAGTTTTTTGCCTCATGCAACCTTTTCTCACGTATCAAACATGTTTGATCGGTGAGCTATCAGCTGAGCTAACAGGCACGAGTAACTTTTGGCTCAGCAGATAGCTCTCGTGTGCGGCAGGCTTAAAGTGTGCGATTTTCTGCTCTTGGGAATTTAAAGCAGCTTCTTAAATGTTTCTTTATGCCAAAAATTTACTTATGCCAATAATTTATTCACTCGTGGGAACCAACAGAGTGCTAAGGCATTCAAATTTTAACAATTAAATTGTTATTGGTGATTTCAATAGTTTTAGGTTTTTTGGGACACCCTGTACAAAACGAAAAAAACAAACGAAAACTATTGAAATCACCAATAACAATTTAATTGTTAGAATTTGAATGCCTTAGCACTCGGTTGGTTCCCACGAGTGCATAAATGATTGACGTAAGTAAATTTTATGCATAAAGAAACTATTTAAGTACCTGCTTTAAATTCCCAAGAGCAGAAAATCGCGCACTTTACAAGGAGATGTTCTTAACTAAATTTTAATGCATGCACCTTGTCAATATTTTACGCATCATTACGTTCAGCTTTTTGGTAGGGCATTCAATTTTAACAATACGTGTTAAACAATTTCAATAGTTTTCGGGTTTTTTGGGACACCCTGTACAGTACAGGGTGTATAAAAAAAACGCAACCTCGGAATTTCCTAAAAAATCACTTTGCAATTCTTAAGCATAAAAGATTTTAGACCCCTGGGAATTGAAATCGAATTTCTAATAGATCATATTACTGTAATATCTAAGTACTAGGTGTATATTTGTGCTATAGAATATATTTAGTATAACATAACGATATTGTTCTTATTGGTGTTTTAGTGTGTGTGTGTTCCTTCTACACAACGTGTCCTATATCTCTATATATATTTAGTTCCGACCGTATAGTCCTGGTGCCGAGTGAATGACATGACGTCATTACTATATCACTCCCCTTTTTTTTATCTAATTACCGACGAGGGAATTCCCTCGCCATATCGTTCTGGTTGCCTGACATTCCTTGTCGATCGTCTTGGCTCAGGGTTACTAGTGTAAACTCTGTCTCGTTCGGTCCTTTCCGCGTCATATGTTTCACTGTCATCGTCGTCGTCGACTTGAACATCAATCTTTGGCTTCGGTATTGGCTTGAAGTGTGATACATTGCAAGTTATAGTGTGTCCTGTCTGACTACGTGCTGTCACCGTGTTGTTGTTTCGCGAGATGACAATGTGGGGTGTTTCATTGAAATTAGGGGTGAGTTTGTTCCGTCTCTCTTGCTTCCACAAAACGTAGTCGCCAACTTTTATTGGG